GTATGTCTCTTCCTGCACACCACGTGAAACCTCAACCTGAACTGGGGAAGGTTCTTGACTGAACGAGAATGGGAAGAGTGTCAGCAAAGAAGGAATTCATTAGAGCAAGAGTAGAAATGAATGGCAGTGGCCTTACAGGCAGCTGAGAGCAGGAAAATGCAGAGGTGCAGAGGGAAAATTTGCTAAACATTTTCTTGGTATAGTACAGATTCCCTTGCCCTCTCTTAAAGCCAGTGTCACTTGGTGTTCTATGTCCACTTGAATCTGCACTGCATGGGAACTAGTCCCTACCACCGCAGGATTTGGGGAGCCATGGAGCACACGATGGAGTGAAATTATTTTCTGGTGTCTTGCCAGTGGGTTTCAGCCTCAGGCAAGCTCATTATGGATTCAGTGTGACCAAAGAAAATGACAGTAAAACGTTCTTGGGGTGAAAGGGTTATACCCAACTTTATTTCCATGGTGGCAGATCAGTCACTAAAATCCTATTCACTCAGAGTGAATCTGCATGCAGCAAGCCAGTCTCCGCCTCTAAGCTTGTCTGTCTGCGCAGCCATCCTCTGGGACTCTGTCCTCAACGCTGCCACCACTCCAGCCTCTGCTTTACTCTCCTGCAGCCTTGCAGCTGTGCCACCATATTACCCAGAGCACTGGGTGGAGCTCTTCATATAGAGTCACTAGCAAAGTATTGCCCACAGGTGTGCAGTGAGCTAGCCAGCCAGAGCCAGGCGAGAATCCTGGCCATAGGAACTTTCATGTTATCCACACTCCACCCCTCCAAGATTCTCTCCTCTCAATCTATGTGCCCTCCATCCTCTGCAATGGTCCCTGTGCAAGGAAGCTTGAAAATTGTTCTCCAGCCTCTCCAGCAAAATGTCTTGCAGGCACACAGGCTGATATTGTTGCTGTCTCTGACGTCTGCTTTTTTGGTCTTAATGGCTGGAACTGCTGCTCTGGTTTTAGTTGTTGCCATAGCTCCAGTAAGATCCTATTTGGCTTCCCATCTAATTTCCTTCCATCTGCTCCTTCCCATATTAAATCAACCCACATATGGGTCCTCGTAACCCTCACGGGGCCCTTTACATTCTTCTTGTGAGTAGCAGACCTTATTTCTTTCCTTGTTCTCATTGCTTTAGCCTGAGTATACAGGGGGGAGCATAGAGTGCTCCACGATCTGGGGAGGGGGCTGTGCCTTTCCTCTGGGAACCCTCGGCTGCTGGGTTTTTATTTTCTTTACAACCACTGGGCATGCTTTCAGTAGAGGAGGGGTCAGTGCCCCCAGCACCACCCCTTCATCCTTCCCCAGCTCCTCCATTTCTGGGGCTAATGGCACCTTTCTCTCCACTCCCCCGAGTGCCTCCTCTGCTACATCCTTTACCTTTTCTACACTGTCTTGCAGCAGTGCTAGCTCAGTCTTCAGCAGCTCTCTTACATTCACCTCAATGCTTTGCAGCTGGCATTCTCGTGCCACCTCCACCTGTGCTTCCCTCAGGAGTTCCTCTTTTTCCTTTATGGCCTTTTCCTCCTTCAGAGAACCTGGCAGTGCTACTCTCTCGTTCTATAAGGAATCTTTTACCTCTTCAACGGCACCTCATTGCCAGCATTCTCGTATTGCCTCCTCTCACATCAATGTCATTTACTTCTTCAGTGAATTCACAGCAGTTTGCAGCTCACATTCTCGTGCGGCCATTTCTTGGGTCTTTTTCACAAGCGTGTCCTCTTCTGTAAACTTTTTAAATATTGTTCTAATACCAACCCACAGTCCCTGCTGCCTCATGGGCACTCTGTCTCGCAGGGGCAGCCTGCTGAAGCACCCCTCCCATAAGGGCAGCCTGTCTTTTCCCTTGGTTAACAATGAATCCTGTCAACTACGCCAGTTGTCTTGCCAATGAGTTTCAGCCCCAGGTAAGTTCACTATGGATTCAGTGTGACCAAAGAAAATGATAGTAAAATGTTCTTGGGGTGAAAGGGTTATACCCAACTTTATTTCCATAGTGGCAGGTCAATCACTAAAATCCTATTCACTCAGAGCGAGTCTGCGTGCAGCAAGCAAGTCTCTGCCTCTTGGCCTTTCTGCCTGCACAGCTGTCCTCTGGGCCTCTGTCCTCAGTGCTGCCACTACTCCAACCTCTGCTCTGCTCTCCTGTAGCAATGCCACCATATCACCCAGAGCACTGGGCAGAGCTCTTTATATAGAGTCAATAGCAACTTATTGCCCACACGTGTGCAGTGAGCTAGCCAACTAGGGCCAGGTGACAATCCTGGCCACAGGAACTTCCATTTTATCCACATTTGGGAACTTCCCAAAGAAAGGAGATTTTCAGGCAGGCTCCTGCAGCTGCAGTTCTGTGCAGGTCATCCAGGTGATGGTAACTTTCAGGCCCAACTCTGAGCTCTCAGCATCCCCTCCCTATTTATCAGACGTAAAATGGAGACTTGGAAATAGAATGAAATAGCAATGCAGTAAGTTGAGCAGTGAGAAACCTTTATTTAAAGGTATACACATAAAGAGAGAGAAAGTGCAGGCATCCTTAAGAGAGGAGGCTTTCTAAAAGGCTGGGAGTTCCCTCTTTTAAGGATTTATCAAAGGGCCAAGGGGTATAGACTTGTAAATGCTTATCTCTGGTGAGAGACATTAAGTCTCTTCTCTTTTATTATCAGTCCTCCAGGTAATTCTGCAAAGTTAACACAAAAAATTTGTCAGTTCTTCTCCAGGAGAGCCTCTTCCTTCTGGGAACATATTGATCAAGACCACCAACCCTGTGATTGAGTTATTGTCTGTTTGCTAAAGAATATTTTAGGAATCTTACTTCCTAGTTTCCTGGTTTTTAAAATGGAATCTTAGTTTTAAGATGTAATCCTTCCTGTTCTTACTATACTGTTCATATCATAGCATTTTTCATCATAGGCAGGAAAAGTTAACTATGATGCTTGTCCCAAGTCCCTGCCCTACATCAAACTCATATGGGGCACTCCCAGTTCATAATTATTTTTCTACATGGAGGAATCCCTAGAGAAGCAACAGACAGTTTTGTCAACTCCCTCTTTGATGGTAAAGATTCATGTTGATTAAATGTAAATCATGGAATGTACTTAAATAGTTTTGAGAAGATGATATCTGATCAATCATTTCCTTTTCAGAAGTGCAATACAGATGCCAGATGGTCATATGCCTATTCTTTCTTACAAATAAACCAGTTAAATGAATAACCTTTCAATTTCTGAGTCATTGTAGAAGCTCTTAGCCACAGAATAACTAGAATTTTCTAAGGGGCATGAGGGGACATCAAAATCCTATGAATTCATAATACATGTTTTTAGACATGATATTAAAGCATATGAATCAAGAAATATGTATATTATAATTTATAGTCATTTCAATCACTGAAACTCACTTCTCTACTGTCTTTCTGGTTTGTGTAATGCAGTTTTAATGACTACTATATTTCTTAGACTAGTGGTATGTTAAAAATACTGATAATGCAACGAGACATTATAATCTGTAACCAGTTAGAAGTTAGAAACAGAGGTGCTTTTCTTGTTTTGTTTTGTTGTTAATCATTTTGAAAGGAGATTCTGTAGAGCCTCTTCTCTTTACCCTCTGTAAGTGAATAAAGGGTAAAATGTCCTTATCTACATGCTATATAAACCCAGAATTTTGAGGGGGTCAAAGAGTTCTGTAGGCAAGGCAAGTTTCCATCAGGCATTCTTTGGGATGGGAAAGATCCCTTATTTCATCTCCAACTCTCAGGAAGAGCAAGAGACACTTAGAAACTATTCTTCTAGCCCTACATCTTCTCTAGAGTCTCTTCTCCTTTTGGTGCACACATACTTGAGGTGTTCTCTACCTTTGATAATAAGGTTAAGAAAGACATTTTGAAACAAACTCTCAACTCTGGCCTAAATATAAAGCCAAAGAAAACTTGTAATTGGTAGCAGTTAAATTTTAATAAACAAACAACAGCCACTCATACCCCCACATAAAAGTTTATCAAAATAATTTTGTGAGTTTTCCTTCTCTACTTCAAAAACTTTCTTTTTAAAGTTGTCTTGCATTTAATTGTTCTTGCTTTTTTAAAAGAAATTGAATAAAAAGTCATTATAACCCTCTGTAAGTATGTCGTTATGAAGTCTGTCTACAAAGCTAGAGCCAAGATACCATACTTGTTGGCACTTTAATTCTAGGAAAAGAATCTAAGAGAAAACATATGCTCTTGAGTGAGACACACTGTATCTATAGAGATAAAATAATTAATGTATTCTGCTTCTCTTTCTTCCTTAACCTCTGATTTCTTTTTCTATAAGTATCTGAAGGTATTTTTAGTATATTTACTGTAGACTAATACTTGTGATCTCCTCACATAGTGATATGGGAAGCAATCAAAATTAGATAGAAATGGCTAAGGAGAAATTTTGGTGAATAAAAGCAGATAATACAGAAATGTTAATTAAATAAGTTTTTTGTAGCTACATGAAAATTTTCATAAGTTTTAAAAACAATGTTTACTCTTCAATAATTGAGAAATAGGTAAATGTGAAGAAAATAAAATATATCTATAATCACCCCATGCTGTAAGAATTGCTCTTGAAATTTTAATGTTTTTTAATAATTTTTTCTATGTAAGCCAATATAAATTTTTAACACAATTTGGATCTCTTCTATACCCTGATCTTATTTCACTTGGCATTAGATTATGGGTACATTCCTATACTTAAATATTCTTTGAAATTTTAATTTTTTATAGGTCATAGATTCCATCCAGGGAATGCAGCAGTATTTATTTATCCAAGTCCCTATTGTGGGCTATATGGTTTGTTTTCATCTTGTTCCTGTTTTAGTGCTATGGAGAATATCCTTGAACATAATCTGTACTACATATCTGATTATTTCCTTAAGAAATTATTAGAAATGGCATTAGTCAACATTTTTCATATACTTCTTGAGTGGGCATATAATTTATGAAAAATTGTGTTTAAGACACTTAATGTTTCCGTCACAGATCTAAACGAACAAAGATGTTGCTGAAGCTAAATAAGCAAAAGGAAGAAGAGGACCATAAATTACAATTGCAGCTTCAAAGACAGAGAGCCTTGAGACTTTCCCGAGAATTACGGCTGAGTATGCTCGAAATAGTTCATCCAGGTAGGTGGCAGTGTCAGCTTTATAAGTGTAAGAATGTTTAGATTATCTTTTAAAGAACCAAATTGCCTAGCTACCCGATGATTTCTTTCTTTTGCTTTGGACCTTTTCCCTGTTTCTCTTTTTTCAGGTAAACCTTATTAAATCTCTTAAATCAAAAAAAAATTACTGCTTTTTCTGATTAAGGCCTACTGTTGATGCAACTGATCTCTTCCCCTAGTTTTCTTTTCTTATCTTACAGATAAGTTAGTGAAACATAAAAATTTATGCTTAAGGATAGCTATCAGAGATAGAAAAAAACCCTAAGTAAGGAGTTAGAATATTGCTACATTCTGCCATTAGAATTTTACTTATACTCCAGCATAAACCTTGTGACATCTCTTGCCACCTCTGACACACACTAAGCTGAAATTAATATTAAGGTGTGGTCTGGGAATCTGAGTGATTTCAAAATTTTTTTTTATTCTTCTCCTTCCCTCCTACCACTTAATTCCTAGTGTCCTTCACTATCCTCTTCTTTCTCTTTCTTTCCTTTAAATATAGATGTTTCCTAGGGTTCCATCTTCACCCTGTTCTTCTTATATTCTTCTTCTTGGTATCCCATTCACAACTATGGCTTCAACTACCAAGTGACTGCACTTTTAAATATTTTCTGCATCCTCACCCTCTGTCCCAAGCTCTAGACCAGCACTGCCTGATAGAACTTTGTGCAAAATGAAATGTTCTATATCTGCACAGTCCAATATGGTTGCCACTGGCTGAAGTGGCTATTGAGTACTTGAAATATGGGTAGTACACTCAAGGACCTGAGTTTTTCATTTTTTAAAATTTAAGTAGCCACTTGTGACTAGTGTCTACCATATTGGACAGCACAGCTCTGTAGGTGGCTGTCTATTGAATAGCTTTACTTAGATATCCATGGGTACCAAAAACTAGTCATTATCTTCTCCCTTTAATTTCCTTTCCCTGTATTCCCCATGTCAGGCAATGGCACCAGTATTCTCAATATCCCATCTGTGAGATATCCTAGGATTTTTTCCCTCTCTCACCTCTATCAGCTCCTAGGAAGTAGAAAGAAAGTCATCAATAGAATGAACTGTGTGGTTTAAGAGAAGTTTGGAAGTACACAGAGTAGGTAACACATGCACATGTTTTGCCCTTTCCTTCTGGTGGTACTGAATGACTTCTTAATTGTGTACTTGTGATTCTTCTTTCTGTACGTTCCTGCTATTGGATTTTTAGCCTTTTTCTCATTCCTGTGCCACACAAAATTATATGAATCTTTTCTCTAAAGAAGCTATATAACCTGAGAAAGCTTTTGGGCTTTTTGTTTCTGAGATCCTAGTACCAATGTGAAATAATGTAATTGGGAAAATAAATGAACAATATTGAAAAAAATAAAAGGGCTGTCAGATTGTTTTTATTATCACATCCTGATTCCAGAACTTGACAAAGTATAGCAATGAATATGTTGTAATAGTGTCTGTCATCTTTTTAGGTCAGGTGGAAAAACATAATCGGGAAATAGAAGACAAATCAGCATTGATTATCCAGAAACACTGGAGAGGGTACAGGGAAAGGAAAAATTTTCACCAACAGAGGTCATCTCTCATGGAGTATAAAGCAGCTGTCACACTTCAGAGAGCAGTGAGTCTGATGTAGTAAAAAGAATACTGAATTAGGAAGCAAAAACATGGGATCAAATCTGATTTTGCTAATTTACCTGCTGTGTAAAGTCTTGGTCAAGTCACTTAGCTTTCTTGAGCTTTAGTTTCTTCCTTTACAAAATAAAAACCTCCTTACCACTGACCAAATGGTTTTAGATACTCAGCCCTTAGTACTTTCATAGAACCTTTGTACATCATTTACCATACTGTAATGTTGTTATTTGTTAGTTTTTTTTCTTTCTTTGTCTTGGGCAGTGAGCTTCTCAAGGGTAAGGAACTAAGTCTTATTTATTGTCAGCTCTCAGCATGTGCTTAATGTGTGAATGGATATCTGTCCTACCTTTTTTACTCAGTTGTTATGTGGATCAGATGACCTAATTTATGGGAAAGTTTTTGTAAAATACAAAGTCCTATGCAAGTACAGCATATCATATTTGATTTCTTTAATATACAGATGATATATTAGATTCTTGAATTATAATGTTCTTAAATGATAGTTTTCCTGAGATTTATCTGGAGCATGGTAGTATTTTACTGTCTTGGAAAAGCATAGCACAAGGCTGTTTATTTCATTTAATGACCAGTTTTCCTAATACTTGGCTACTTACTTATACTTAGTTAACTTTTATATTATGATTTCAGGTCCAATAGCATTTAATTTTATAATCCTATATTGTTGATACCATTTTTCACAGTGAAAGATTTTGAATAGTTTCTTTGCCAAATTCTTTGTGATGAACCTTTTACAAAGATTTTTTTTTACATTTAAAAAAGCAGGCTAGCATAAGTACTAGGGAAATAGAGATTTGTCTACCATCCTCTTCTTCCTCAGGCTTTGCTGGGGATCTCAAGCTATCTGCAACAGACAATCCTGTACCATCGCCAAAATACACCCACACCTGTTGTTCAGATCGCTAAACAAGGCCATCTGAAAATTCACCCATAGATATCAATGTTGAAGACACTTCCTCTAAAGGAGACTTTGGGTCTTTTCTAATACTTTTACCTCTTGGCTACCTCCTTTTCAAACTTTTCCCTGTCAGAGAATCAACTGGGTCCTTATTAAGTTGACTTACTACCTTGGCCTATTTAGATAAGTCCAATATTTTATAAAAAGGTTCCCTCAAGTGAGATTTACCAGTCTGTCCACCATTCCTTAGAGAAAGATATCTGAAGGCTTTGAATGCAATGTTGTTTTGCCTTTCACACTTTTCTTTGGCATATGAGGAAAAAAATGAGTCACATCGCCTCATCTCTGCCTCACCTGAGAGAAGGAATATTGGTCTCCATTGAAGTAAGAACAGGAAAGGGATGGGTCAAGGTCATGCTTTCAGCTTTTGCAGCTTACTAGTAAAAATAATAGTCAAAGCAAAGCCAGCCCAAAATAGAAAAGGTAAGAAGAGGATTCCTTTCAAAGAGAGAAAAGAGAAAGAAATATGACCAGAGAGGGAAGAAAAAGGAGGGTGGTCAGTAAACTTTGAACAGGGCAGTGGTCAGTACAGGACACATTTTGCCACATTTTTGAACTATTCTTTTATGAAACAGACAGACCTGCGTACAGACTTTCCAATGCCGTGGACATGAACCATGTGTGGCTGTTCAGTGCTTGACATGGACTAGTGATATGCTGCAGGTGCCAAACACACAGCAGATTTTGAAGACTTAGTGTGCAAAAAAGTGTAAAACATCTCTTTAATAGTTTTTATATTGATTAGATATTATATAACTTAGTGTATGCAAAATATTAATTTTACCTGTTTTTTATTTTTTTAATGTGTCTACTAGAAAATTTAAAATTGTTTATGTAACCCACATTACATTTTTTTTTTTTGAGAGGGCATCTCATATTTATTGATCAAATGGTTGTTAACAACAATAAAATTCTGTATAGGGGAGTCAATGCTCAATGCACAATCATTAATCCATCTCAAGCCTAATTATCATCAGTCTCCAATCTTCTGAAGCATAACAAACAAGTTTTTACATGGTGAAT